CCCTTAGTAAAAGGGCTTGAAGCACTAAGCCCTAAGCCCTCTATCAAAGTGCTTCAATTTCAAGCACAAATTTCTTTTTATTTTCAAAAGTGCTTCACAAGCACAAAGCCCTCAAAGTGCTTTGGGCTTGACAAGCACAAAGCCCTCAAAGTGATTTGAAAAGTGCTTGAAGCACATCAAAAGTGCTTGGGGTGCCTTGAAAAGGGCTTCCTTCAAGCTCTTTAAATATGCTTCAAGCTCTTTAAATCTGCTTGAAGCTCTTTATATGTGCCTAAAGCACTTTGAATTTGTAATAAAATTCTCAAAGTGGCATAAGCTACCGCGTACAGTCATCACACAGAATTGGTATAGTAGAGACGAACTTTACATTTCACAGAGTAGCAGTAGTATGTTTTTTTTGAGATGTAGTTCTGGGGTACTTGGGGTAGTTGGGGTATTACATGGTAATTCAATTTTAAGGTTTTCAAAATGTTCAATGGGGAAAAGTGAAAAAAATCCAGTGATAAAGTTAAATAGGATACCAAAATAAATTAATTATTTATTTGAATAATAAGTTCATTTATTTTTTTTTTTAAATTCCATTCTAAGCTCAAACCCAAAACCTCCATTGTTAAGAGAGAAAAGACATAAGACGGTTCAAGTTCAAATAGTAGAAAAAAAAATTAAAGGACAAAATACGATCGAAAATTTTTAAGTGGGGGATAGGTTGAATGATGGTCAATTCAAATTCCTTTCAAAGTGCTTCAAGCCCTTTTAAAGTGCTTCAAGCCCTTTCAAAGTGCTTCAAGCTCCCAAAAGTGCTTCAAGCCCTCTTAAAGTGCTTCAAGCCCTTTCAAAGGGCTTCAAGCTCCCAAAAGTGCTTCAAGCCCACTGAACATGCAATGTTACGAAAGCTCAATGCAATATTACTCTGATCTTAGTTTCGCAACATTCCAATGTAATATTGAATTATTTTTGACACAACATTACAACAATAAATTACAAAATGAAATATCCTTGAAATTTTAACGCATATTAAAAATTATAACTTGTACGCAAATTAACATTGTAAATATGCATTTAAATTGAACTAGTATAATTTTAGTAATGTTATAATAACTACCAAATGTAAACTTGCTGCAAAATTGGAAATATAACTTGTAGGTAAGGTTACATCGCAAAGATGCCTTAAAGTTGTGTTGGCATTATTTTGCAATGTTATAATTTAATATCGAATGTAAACTTGCTGCAATATAGCAGAAATAATATATTGGAAAATCGAAAACTTTGCCGCCATTATTAACGATCGGCACGACATCGGGGATACGAACTAAACCGAAAACAAATCGACGCCATCAAGTCGCTCTTTGTCGTTTGAGTCGAGTGCTGTGTTTGCTTGTTGAATGTTGAGTTGTTGAGTATGTCTGTGGTATTGTGGTAAAGCGATTCTCGGCTAAATATTTGGTGTTTGTGTTTGGATTATGTATTCGATCGGTTCAGGTTGTACTTTGCTTCTTGGTTATTTTTATTATTCAGTTTTTATTTTAGAACCTGTGGAAATGAAATAAATATACAGCGATTACAATGGATGAGGATTCAAATAAGGTGAGTAAAGGGTTTACATAGTCAATAAATACTTTTTACTTTACAAAAATACTGCGGAATGGTGGGCCCCTTTTCTTGTAAACCGTAACCTCTTTTTTTCATACCTACGAATCCCGTATTATTATTATAGGTTTGTTCCAACCGGCAGTAATTTCCAGCAATATTACTGGCACACATGCGCAATTGTGAAATGCCAACCAGTCAAAATTACTAATTTAGAATTGGCGATAATTGACAGTTCGTCGTTCCAACCGGAGTTACGGATAGTAAAATTACGGTTCAAACGATTCTTGCTTGAAAGGAAGAACTGTTGGTTCTAAAATTAGACGCATGCGTAGTGAGGTCGAAAACGGGTCAGTGGTTGAACAACAACGAACATAAATGATAATACATAACCCAGAACCTCAGTTTTTTGTTTATTTAAACTATTTATTTGAAAATGACTGCTATAGAAGTTAAGTAATTTCATTTTATTTGTTCTCAGAGTTAATAAATCTGATTTTTGTCTTATATCAGGTTTAGAAGAATTCCTTATTGTGGTGGAAGATGATTCAGCTGCAAATATGCAAGTTATGTTGATTTTGTTATTTTCATCTTGTGTTGTGAGTACTACTAGTTCAAAAAACGTTCCAACAAGTTTTTAAGTTATCTAGTATAATATTACTGTTTTTGACTGCGCAGTCGCATTAGCGCGGTTATGGACGATAATATTACAGTAATATTATTGCAGGTTGGAACAAACCTAATATTACTTGTTATGATTTTACGATAATATTTTAGTTAGAATCAAAAATATAGTAAACCGTTTGGTAATGACCAGAAAGAAAGTGGCTACGACGGGGAATAATTATTATAATAAAAATACAGAACTAGGTACTCCCTGATTTTGTTTTTGTTGCAGGTGATGATATAAGTATAGTCCAACAAATACCATTTTAAAGTCACGTGATTTTTCTCTATCCTTGTCGAATACATTTTAAACAGCGGTGATAGTAAAATTGACAAAAAAATTGCTGTCTAATTATTGTTCATAATATTCTTACCTGAAATAGAATCCGTCACTGTCATCAATTAGTTTGTCAAAGTTATTTTCGAAAATAATACAACGAACAAACACAGCTAATAATTTTGACCACATTAACCTTTCTCCAACTCGAAAAGAAGCAAATAGAAAACGGGTACCCAGTTTAAGTTCAGAATGTATTACAACAGACAACAGATGCGACAAAAGTGAGTCTCGCAACAATTGTAAGTATTAAAATTGCCCTCTGATTGGTCAATACTACTTCAGAAACGCGTTTGTAAAATGTTAGTGGGAACATATATTAAAATTCAATAGTAATTAACCACCAGTAGCTTTTTGTAGGTGATATCAACGACATAATCAATGGACATACGTTTTTTGCCACCAGTATCACGTGACTTTAAAATGGTATTTGTCGGACTATAGCAGCCAGTACCTACTTCGTCCTGTGTGTCAAGGAGGGTGTCAACCCTATTTCGTTTTTTTTTGTGCTTAGAATTTTTATTTATTTTGCTTTAAGATATTACTTTTTATGCTTTTTTTTTCACCTAAGTATATTTATTTATTGTGGGAATTATAGATATACATAATATACCAACTTTTTTATTTATTTTTTTCAAAAACTTGTACTTTTATTCATAATAAAATATCTACCTAATGATTATGGGTTTCGGGCACAAATTTTAACAGTTTGTTTTTAGAACAAACTGAGAGTTTATGCACCGAAGCTCAAATCTCCCTGTATACATAGTATTTACAGTTGCAACATTACTTTTTTATTGCAGTAAAGTTGCGAACCCAATATATTTGTAATAAAAATGCAATATTGCAGTAAACTTACTAATAAATTGCAAGTAACCCTAAGGTATATTTGAATTTGTAACCTTACACTCGTAAGTTTGCTGGAGTTTTGATCTAATATTCCAGTAATATTGCTGAAAGGTTATCATTTATAAACCTTGCATTTGTAATATTACCCTAAGGTTGTTTCAGTACTTGCCGCAATACTGCGTTAACATTACAGTAAACTTTCATATAACCTTACAAGTTTGCAGTGTAATGTTACCTCACTATTACTGTAATCTTATTTTGTTTAGTGGGAGCCCTCTAAAAGTAATTGAAGCTCATTGAAAAGGGCTTGAATTACTTTTTTCAATTACAAATTACTAAGCACTTTTCTAAAGTAATTGACTTTGCAAGCCCCAATTACAAATCTATAAAAGGGCTTGAAGCACAGGGCTTTCAAGTCCTCAAAGTGCTTCAAGCACTTTCGCAAGCACAAAGCACTCAAGCCCTGCCCAGCTCTGTACTGAATGAACCGTATAGCTTTCCAGCTCAGGGTCTCTAGTTTAGGTACCTACATACATATATTGTTTAACTCTCATGTTGAAATAAAGGAAAAAATAAATAAAAAATTAAGGAGGTGTTTCAATATACTTATTAGAATCCTGCTGAGTTTTCAAATCCGATTAATATTTCAATCTCCTTTTTCTCAAAAATTTGAATTTTGCCCCTCTGAATCATTTTGCAAAAGATAATTCGCACAATCAAGTACCACTCACTTTATTTCGAACTTTGCTCCATCAGACCATCACCGTATAAAATAATTATGATATATAGAAAAAAAAATACGGGCTTTTTGATATATAATTATTATAAACGTTTATACATGATTTTTGAAATAAGTTATAATATAATAATTTGCATTTACAATGGAAACATAATAAATACCTATAAATTTAAAAATTGGATTTATGTAATGTGTAGTTCCGGTGAAATTAAAATGATATATAAGTAGGTAGATGATGTTTTCATCATCATTATTGGGATTCTTATATAATTAACTATAAATTATAAGAATATTTTTGGTCCTAAATTTTTTTTTTTTTACAAAAATGCCCAATAAGAGAGATAAGCTGGCTAAATGCAATAGATAGGTAAATGGTAAATATCCCACAATAAATTATACCTTATTCAAACACACATTCAATAATAATCCTTTTATTGACCAATAATACATGTTGCAATAGCTAGTAAAAGTACAATAAATGTTATACTGAGAATATCATTAATTATTACATATTCATTATACAGGGTGTTTCCTAAACATGCGACAGCCCTTCAAGGGGTGATTGCTAATGTATTTTTATGTAAGGAAAAGTTCATATAATACATAAACATTTGTTGAAAAATGCTTCTTAAAAGTCGAATTACGAAATAAATAACTGATAATAAATATTTTATATTTTTATGCAATATTAAAATAAATAAAAGTACATAATCTAAAACTATATTTAAATTATCACCCACAATAAATATGTCCATTGACTTATCTTTACGACACCCTATAAATACCGGGGACTGGATTGGTAATCCAGACAAAAGACAGTCAGTCGTATTCTAATTGAATTAAATTTCGTTCTGGCCATCTTTGTCGCACCCATATTGTGTGTTAAAATTAGAAAACAAAGGATTACAGTGTGTTAGCTGGTGGAACAATTTAAAAATCGCATTTCGGCGTTGTTTTATCAGTTCGTAAGTTGAGCTTCTAGCTTATAGAAGTCGTATATAGTGTGTGATAACTTTGTTTCTGGACATAAATTGTAAAAACTCTGTATGTATTCAAATATTAATGTTAACATATTTTTCTGGAACTGATGCTAATTCAAGCTTTTCAACTTATATTTTAATATTTTTCACCCTGTATGTGAATTTAGAGCAAATGTTGAACTTTTCTGATCTTGAGCCAGACTTGTCTCGTCTCTCTCCTTATTTCTTTGCAGTTAATGCATTTTATATTTAGTTTTTAAATCTCTTTTGAAACAATTTTAGTACAGTCTGGTACATTACACCTCATAATGGGAGCCAAAGACTTGGCTTTACCTTTTAGAAATTCATCCCATAGTAAAACGTATGATTTTACTATTGAATCAAACTTCACCTAATCACTCTTCTTTTTCCTAGAATCACTATTTTCTTCTAAAGAAACTTTCCACCATAAGTTTTTCTCAGTTGTCTATAATTTTCGTTTATATCTTATATACTTTTAGCCTCTTTTTAAATTAAGTAGATTTTTCTGAATCAAGTTATTTTCCAGGATTCACATTCTTCTATATGATTATATAAAAAACCATTCTATTTCTCAACATATTACTGGCTTTTTTCCAGCATTCACAAAACTTTCAATCGTATTATCCGAAATTATTCATAATTTCTAGAAAGCAGTAGTATGTAAATGAATCACAATGAAAAAATAAATGCTGTATAATTTGTAGAAATTATAAAAAGGTTCTAAGTTCAAGGTTCACTTGTTAACTGGCTAAATTACATAGACTATTACCTAAAAAAGATTTGGTAATTATTAAATAGTTTTTTTTTTTAATGGGTTTAGAACAAATCACGTTTAACTTTAAAATGAACCATTAGTGTTGGGAAAGTCAGCCCAAGTGTAGGCAATATAATTTCTCTTGCCCAGGTGAAATTCTGACATTATTTTTTCTTTTTAGATTGTCAAAATGGTTGATGCATACCTTGGAAAAAAATACAAGCTGGACAGCAGCGAAAACTTTGATGAATTCATGAAAGCACTTGGTAAGTCATATAAGGTATGTGCCTTATATCATTGTATCTTATATACATTCTTAATTTTACCATTCGTGATTAAACAGTTTTGTATAATAAACGATTTAAGGCCTGATAATTTTCCAAACACGCACGGTAATCATATGTATGTAAGTAGGTAGGTACCTAGTAAGTAGGTATGTATATAAAATTGGAAAATAATATGTTCTGTAATTTCTCTCTAATAAGTTCATATTGATTCCATCACGGTTATTCTAGTATTTATTTATGTTTTATTTTTCAAACGCAATAAATAAGAATCTAATTATATCTACCTTATTTTCATTGATCATCATCAATGAAATTTCATTCATATCAAACTGATAATTTGTCATCAAATTTTTATCAATTATTGCTTATTATTGTGGATTTTTATCGTAATACGTGTAGAAGCGAAATCCTTCTTTATCACTCTAGTCAATGTGATCAAACTTTCTATGTCTAAAAACGGAATATTTGCCCGAGAGAGAAATGTCTGTCAATACGTAAACAGCAAAGTGATGAATCTTTAAGACGATACCTTCAAGCATTTAAACAACTTAAGAACAATTATTGTAATTTTAAAGCGAAAACTGCCTATATCAGAATTCAGAATACCTAACGATGAATTTATTCAGAATGCCTTTATCAATGGACTCCACCAGCATCAAATACGACAAAGACTTTTTTTAAAATCATAAACATCACTTGAAGAGGCTGCATCACATATGTAAGCACTATCCTTAGAATCTGTTCAGAAACATTCATCAATTTATAATTATCAATCAACGAACGTGGTTTGTAGGTGTCACTATAATCAAAATAATGATCAAGCATTCCCAGTTGCTTCTGCTGCTGCAATACTGCTAAAATGCTATTTTGGTTGTATGTCCTGTTAGAGAAAGCATTTGTTGGAGCTGTAACAAAAAAGGGCATTTATCAAAATAAAAGTTTTTATGGGACGTACGACGTACTAACAAATAAAAAAATCAATCGGCACACACAATCTGTGGAGTCTAACAACAGGAACATGATCAAAACTTTGAGAAATACCTTATAACTTGAAACAAATTAGATTTTCTAGCAAAACCGTGATACTTCTTGGTTATCTGATAGAAAATATCACTATAAAACCAGATTTATCAGGAGTGTTTGTTACATCTATCAATGCGAAGGGTGCATGTTGAGGAATAATGTTTTTCTCACTATTCAAAATAGATTTCGCGGTTATCTGAGAAAATCTTCTCACAAATTCAAAGATATTTCCATGAGGATCTGAGGCTATTTCTCAATTTCAAAGGATTAATGATGATATTGTTTGTTCTGTTTTTGTATCTGTTATTGGTCCTAGTATTAATGTTGTAGTAGAACCAGACGTTTCATTCAGACCATGATGCTATTATCAGCCTGTCTAAGGCCCAGTTTCATAACTGATGATAACCGGCATTCGTCAGTGGTTATCAAACTAATTGTTACGGGTGGACCACATTTCGCAAAGTAAAGCACAGGTATAGAAATTGGTGGTAACTTGCACTGGTTATCAAACAATAGTTGCGGGTTAACCACAACTGAAAGGTTTGCAAAATAAGGCACGAGTTGAATAATCTAGAGCTTGACCAATGGTTTTGGCTAAACCACAAATTATGGAACAGATATATTGTGGCTTACCAATGTTTTGTGGTTACCGCTGTTTGTGAAACTGACCCTCAGTCAAATCAAATCAACCAGTAGCTTTTTTTCTCGGATGTTATCTATCGTCAAGCGACCAAAAGCACTCTGCTGTGAAAAAAGATAAGCAAATTTACTCAATGCAATGCAATACAATTCGAGAGCCGGGAATAGACAAAATTACAGAAAACAGAAGTTCAAGAGCCGCGAATAGAAAAAAAAAATGAGACGAAGAAACTTAGAGGAAATTCAAGGCTAAGTTGCAAGCAAAATAAAATAATACCTATCCAGATAAACTATCTCAATACCTACATACTGATCAAAAATCTATGTTCAATATGGCACACTCAAGAAAAATCAAAAATGAAAAAAATTTAAGATGGAATTTAGAATTAGGTTCTTGTATTTAAATTTTGATATTACATTATGTATAGGCCAGGAAAAAGCAATATTGTATCTGACTCATTTTCCATATTTTGTGGATCAGTCAGGGAAAATACTCGATACCTGACCTTCATCGCATTATTCACATTATTGGAACAAATCAAGAAAGAACAAATCCGAAAAATTACAGCGTCCTTTTCTATACGCGTAGAAATTGAGCCTCAAGTCATCAAAACAAAAGGCAAGGGAAACTTATAAAAGCAACTCAGCCATTTGAGAGATTTGGATTTTAAGGGTCCTTTACCAGAATTCCATGAAAATAAGTAAATATTCTTATAACAATAATTGATTAGTTTTCCAGACTTCCTTTTGCTTTTATTGGTTTGTTCTGATGTGACATCTGCTGATAGGTACTGCTATTAGATGTTTTGATTAACTTTTCTCACTATTTGGAATACCACATTACATTCATTCAGTTCAAGGATCAAGTTTTAGTTTTATTTCTAGAGAATTAAAACCATACTTACCAGAAGAATATAGTTATAAGACGAAGTACTCAAATACTGATCGGATTTGGAAGAATCTGATTCGTTATCGCGTAATTTAAGGACAGCTTTGTTTGTACCTGAATGTCCACAGTCAGGCATTTGTTTAGTTGTAAAAGTGGATTTTTGGTGAAAAGCAATTTAAATACTGGAATAATTTGAAAGACTTTTTTTAAGTTTAAAAGCCTGAGGACTCAACATCCATTATCAAGGAAAAGTAATGTCAGAAGCTTTACACTATATTGCCTCTCTTCTTTGCTAGACGTTTTGTGAAGCTATACCAAGCTGACAAGGCAATCCAGGACAAGTTTCTGTTCGAAAACAATAGTGTAACAGAGCAGTAAGTAGTGGAAGCCGAACTTTCAGGAGCTAGTTCCGAGTATGCACCTTTCTCTCAGAAGTATTTTTCAACTATTACAAGTTGATGTGAATATCGATATGATGATGATCATCATTTTACAAAACTCGAATTTAGAGAGAGTATCACTGTAACTGGGAAACCATCAAGAACATCATATCAGACTGAAGAGATTCCATCATCTACTCAAAATCAACAAGTCTAGAAAGTGGAAAGACCTGACCTACAAGATTTTGAGGACCTCCACAATATTTAGAAAATTATGTTCAGAATAAGAAGACGGGAAAAATTATCTGTAGATTATTATTTACTGTATCAATTAACGGTTCTGGTTACTTATAGGTCCCAACTTCTATGGAATTTTTTCGGAGTTATTTCATTTAGATATCACTTGAAAAATTCTTCTTAGGTATTCGAAAAAAGTGCGGAATATTTAGTTTCCTACAATATAATAAGGTTTTAGCGTGTTTTAGTTACGGAAAAAGCATACATAATATCAGAGATGGGCATCTACGCGTAAACAAAGATTGTCTACGTCTGGTGTAAACAACGCGTAGACAATGTAAACTATGTAATCTATGTAGACAACGTGTAAAATATGTAGACAACGCGTAGAGTATACAATTTTTGACAGTTGGCAGGCCTTCAAGGTTATGTTTGTGTTTTTGCTTTGTTTTGTTTTTTGCTTTGTAATGTTAATTAAAATGCAGATAATGTCTAATTTGATACAATATAAATTTAATGCAATGCAAACTTTCAAAAAAATTACTCAAATTTCAAATTTTCTGTTGTCTACATTGTCTACATAGTTTACATAGTAGTCTACATGGAAAAAAGTGGATGTAAACAATACGTAGACAACGAGTAGACAAACCGCGTAAAGTAGATTTCATAGTCTACGGCACATCCCTGCATAATATATATACCTACCTAACCTACCTAGTCCTAATGCTCATTATTTTTTTTATCAATTCGTCAGCGGGTTTTTATATTGTACTTATTAAGGAATAGCACGCATTACGTGGACGGGAGTTTGCATATTTTTGGTTAGTTTCGTTCAATGACTTTCATTACAGTTCGTTTATTACTGGTTATAAGTGTACTAGTTGACCACAAAGCTTTGTTTTTTGAACTCAATAATAACATACAAGGACTAGCACGCATTACGTGGACGGGCTAGTTTAGGTTAGATTGCATATTTTTGGTTAGTTTCGCTACAGTCCGTTTAATACTGGTTAAGTGTACTGGTGTGGTGTACTTACAAAGCGCGCGAAACGCGCTCGTTTTTCTGAATTCAATAATAACATAATATAAGGAGTGGTACGCATTAGGTGGACGGGTTAGTTTCGGTTAGTTTACATATTTTTGGTTAGTTTCGTTACAGTTCGTTTATTATTGTCTATAAGTGTACTGGTTAATAACAAAGCGCGCGAAGCGCGCTCGTTTTTCTTGGTTTAATATTAACATACAAGGACTAGTACGCATAAAGTGGACAGGTTAGTTTGTATATTTTTGCTTATTTTGTTACAGTTCGTTTATTACTGGTTATAAGTGTACTGGTTGATAACAAAGCGCGCGAAGCGCGCTCGTTTTTCTAAATTCAATATTAACATACAAGGACTAGTATGCATTACGTGGACGGGTTAGTTTCGGTTAGTTTGCATATTTTTGGTTAGTTTCGTTACAGATCGATTGTTTTTTAAATTCAATATTAACATACAAGGACTAGCACGCATTACGTGGACGGGCTAGTTTGGGTTAGTTTGCATATTTTTGGTTAGTTTCGCTACAGTTCGTTTAATACTGGTTATAAGTGTACTGGTTGACAACAAAGCGCGCTGATAGCGACCGATAGTGGGGAATTTTCGTAAATAGTTTATTTTCGAATGGTGGGCCAAATCGTCAATTTTGAATATAATTTTCTGATGGAAAGTGTGCATTGTGCATTCTCCACGGATGCTATCAGCACTAAAAAAATTGTACCAGAAAATAGGGAATAATTGTACTAGATTGGCGACATTGTGTACTAGCTCAAAGCGCTTCAAATTTTGAAATTTGAATACAAATGTAGGCTCTGTTAATTGGGGGTAAATATCACTTGTTTAAGGGGCTGTTTCTCAATAGCGATTCACCTCCGGGTTGGTTTTAATTCCAGGGTAAACGTGTTCAGTTGCAATGTTTACCCTGGAGTTATGCTCAACCTGGGGGTGACTCGCTAGAGAAATCGGACCTGAATGATAGAAATAAATAATTTTCTACATATATTTAGTTATAAATGGACTACCGATTACCGTGATCGGCTGAATCACCGAATAACCCCCGATACATGATACACGTGAAGTCATTGGTTCAGAGCGAAGAGCGACACTCGACTCGTAATCCAAATTGTACTAGATTTATGAGAGAGGTACTAGCGTACTAGGTGAAACGTGATTGTGCTCGATCTAGTACAATTGTAGGTACCTACTAGAAATAGCATCCCTGGCATTCTCCGCATTTATTTATAGCTTAGATGTTTTTTTTTGAAGGAATCTTTCTCAAGAAACAAAAAAAACGTCTTTAATGGGACCTAGAAGTTACCAGACCCCAATTACCTTTACTTGTTGTCATTTCATAGGTTTTTGTGTAACCGTCCGCGAAATTCAATTTCGCAGCCGCAACCTGACGTACAAAATGTGTCAAATCCATACAGTTTTTCTGTAACTTTACATAATTACATAATTTTCATAAAGTCTGTTTTTTTTTTTAAAGATAATTCCCCAAGTCAAAAATTTAGTAACTATGTTGGCAACACAAGTCTTTTCTATATAAAAAATTTGGAAGCATTGACAATTTTACATTGTATTGCCAACACAATGTCATTTAGACTTTTATCTTTAAAAAAAACACATATTTTAGTTGCATAAAAAACAGTGTCTATATATGCCATGACCGCGAAACTTTTTAGCGGCCTCGGCCCTCGGCGATAACTTTTCTCTAAATACGTATGCTAAAAAGGCATTTCGCGGCCTTGGTATACAAATAACTATTAGTTGATTTGTCAAAAAGCTCTGTACAGTGTTGGTTGAGTCGAGCCTTATGGGATTTATCCGGTGCTCCATGCTCCTGATTATATTTAGAGCAAGCTTGGGACTAAATCATATCCCCAAAGCCTGGAAGGAAATCGCAGTTGTTTTCATCCCCAAACATAACATAACTACGTGTTGGGTCACATACGATTCAGGACTTGGCATTGGGTGAAAAAAAAGTACCAAGTATAGTACTAATTCTTGAAGTTTATACTAAGTAGGTACACTAACGAAGCATTTACTCATAATATATATGCTATTACAGACTAACTATATGGAGTGTAAGTAGTAAGTGTTTCGTTAGTGTACTTAGTACATCAAACACAGTTTGTACAAACTTCAAGAATGTTGTAAATACTTGAAGCATTAGCATGATTATTCAAAAACTGTACATAGGAAACTGTATGATTATTCAAAAACCGTACATAGGACTGAATTCATACTAACATGGAAAGGTTGAGGGGGTAGTCAGAAACAGGAAAATGCCAATGGCGTACACTCAATCGACCCACGAATGGAGAACCATACGAAAATAAACAAAACTGTATGATTATTCAAAAACTGTACATAGGATTAAATCCATATACTAATATGGAAAGGTTGAGGGGTTAGTCAGAAACAGGAAAATACCAGTGGCGTACACTCGATCGACCTACGAATGGAGAACCATACGAAAATATATACAAAACTGTGATTATTCAAAAACTATACATAAGAAACTGTATGATTATTCAAAAACTCTATATAGGATTGAATTCATACTAACATGGAAAGGTTGAGGGGGTACTCAGAAACAGGAAAATACCAGTGGCATACACTCGAGCGACCTATACGAATGGAGAACCATACAAAAATATATATAAAACTGCAATGTACCTACTTCTTTTTATGGATTCCACCCATTGTGTCGGGATTTATACAGTCAGGACAAATATGCACTAAGAACTCGATAACGATGACCTTTTTTGAAGATTTCAAGCTATCTTAGTTAATATGCTTCAGACCAGAGCTGGGAGTAACAACAAAAAATAGTTACTTTACTTTAACGAGTTACTGAAAGTAACGCGTTACTTGGTAACCTCGTTACTTTTCAGATTGATTGATAAATAACTGTAACGACGTTACTTTCCTGAAGTAACTGCAGATCGTTATTTTGTTAAAGTAACGAGTTACTATGAAAGTAGCGCGTTACTATGAAAATAACGCGTTTATATGGAAGTACCGCGTTACTAGTTACTATGGAAGTAACGCGTTCTCTCAATTTGTTTATCTTCTTTACAAATAATTGACGATTGAGAAAAAGGAAAATGAGTAATCCAAAAACTTTGTATGTCAAATAAAATGTGGGTAGTACAGAAAATTTGTTTTGAAAGCTCAAAATATTCGTTTTTGGGCGTGGCACGCGCCGACTCTGCTCTAAAGACACTATATGCAGACACTGGACTGGGATGCTTCAAAAAGCAGGTTTGTCCGAAACCAAGTTCTCTGTTTAGTCGCTTAATCCTTAATCCGTTTGCAACAAAACTCTTCCACATAGTCGGACTCACAAACTAAAAACATATTGGCATTTCGTATAGGTCTTATTTGATTGTTTAGACTGCTGTGTTGGTGAGTCAAATTAAGGAATAACGCAATTTTCGACGTATAACGTTTAATTTAAAAGTAGCGCTTTATTTCAAACTAACGCGTTGAGGTAACGGTTTACTTTCAAATAACGAGTTACTTTTAAGTAGGTAACGAACTACTTCAAAGTAAAGAAGTTACAGTAACGCGTTACTTTCCAATAAGTAATGAAAATAAAGTTATCATTATTCGAAAGTAACTGTAAAGTAACGCGTTACTTTTTTCAAGTAACGATCCCAGAGCTCTGCTTCAGACCCCTTGGTACTTATCCGACTTTTATTTATTTATTTATTTTTTAAACCTCAAAAATCTGTAGCTCTAGTATGTTTAATGTTTGTTTAATCTAGATACTTAGTACCTATTTAAGCCCTTAGATAATAGAGATAGATGATAACACCTCAGCCTCAGAGTGCTCCATCCATTTCGTTTTAATCGTTCACTAAACTTTCCCGCGTTCAATAACCGAACAAGAACCGAACCCCCCTTTTACACCCAATCAGCTCGTAGACTTTGGATTCTAGTGTCGCCTGACGTCGCTCGAAAATCATTGTAATTCCGACCGAAATTCAACGGCAACGATCGTGGATCGTAGGTCGTAGCAAACTAAACAGAACGGACAGACTTTGAACCTGTTTTTTGTGTTTTATTCCATTCAAAACAGAATTGAATTAACGCCGGGTGTTGTTCAGCAATCATCACCGTACAGTACACAGTACAGGCATTTATTTAAAGTAAAGTGCATTTAATTCAAATATTACAAACATGGCATTAGAAGCACTCCTTGGGAAGAAATACAAGCTGGCTAGCAGTGAGAAATTCGACGAGTACATGAAGGCTTTAGGTAATAAATTACCTTATTTTATTGAAATAAATTTTAACACGTTTTCTTGTTTCTTATCTCATATATATATATGCAAAATTATGTTAACATGATAAGTATATTTTTTAGTTATCCGCAAACTAAGGCCGGGTTTACCCAACCCAATATGATCTGCGTTTCATTTCTCAATTTCTGTTCTTAGTTCATTTTCTGACTTGAAAACACCAATAGTAATTATAGATTTTTAATGAAAATCCAAAATGCAACTTCATACAAAGTAGGTAGTCTGTTTTTAGTTATCTTTACTAATTCAAAACTTTACAATTGACATTGAGAATTAAGCTGAATTTACATGCATACGTAATCACGTGTAACACGTATACGTCAAAATAGCTCGATACACGTGACGGATGCTGCAATATTAGACTTATGCCTGTATTCTGTATTACATCTGTGTATTTTTCCTTGTATTTATTCATGAAGTTCAGGGTGACAACCAAAAAACTTCAAACTCAACATAAATCATCATAATGAATGTTGGCACCCTGTGAACTACATGAAGAAATACATGGAAAAATACACAAATGTAATAAGTACGGGCATTAGATTTTGTTATTGTAACTATTTTTATTAAATATTGCCCATAAAAATTTTCCATTGAAGTCTATAAACAACATGTACTTTTAACTTGAATCCTGATATTCCAGCTCTTTTCAAAATGTTTCTGGAGATTCTAGATTGTTTGGAGTGTCCTGAAATGGGTTTCAAACTTCTGAATTGTTCTAAAATACTTTTGGAAATTGTAAATCGATTTTTAAATGTTTTGGAGCATTCTAAAATGGTTCTGAAGTTTCTAAATTGTTCTGAAGCGCTACAGAATACTTTTGGAAATTTTAAATTGAGTGATTGAGTAGAAGGATTTTCTTCAATTCTCAAATTTCAATCCTTTCCTTGGCCCATTCTCTCTCAATTTCAATTGTATCCCTCTAACATTAAAAAAAAAAAAAATGTAAAACATCCCTTGGACTCAAAGGAGGAGAGCGACCCAAAGGAAGGTTTATCTATTTTTTTAGAAATTTCATTCTTTTCTCTTAATTTTTTCAAAATATCCCCACAGCTCCAACTGCAAAATTTCTATTTATCCCATATGGTATCCTTTAAAATTATACTCAAAAATATATTCTTTCCCATCTACTCGCAACTTTCCAATCCCACAAACATTTTTCTTGAAAAAAAAAACGTCGCTCAAAGTGGAGTTTCCTGAAGTTACATTCTTTTCAAAATAACACATTTTGCCATACAACGTTTGTTAATTTCAATCCAACAATTTCAAAAAAATCTCTATTGAATAATTTCAATACAGCTCCAACTGCAAAATTTCTATTCGATTCCTCCAAAATTTTCCTCAAAATAAAAATAAAACTTCCCTGAATGTTGTTTTCTGAAAATAAGTAATAAAGATAAGGCAAAAATCGTTTCAGTCATAGAAAAAAATTCCATTCAATTTGCAATAAAAATATGCTGGTGCTTTTATTAGCAATCAAACTACAGTTCGTCACAGTCACAGGGTTATTTTAATTGGAATTTGACCATAAAAGGTGATAAGCAAATAATGAAATCATTTGTTGCTATGGCTGTAAAAATATATATTTTCTTATCGCAAAAAAAAATATGTTAAATTTAAATATTTTATTTCTAGATGTAGGCCATTTAGTACCATAAAGTGTCACCAATTTATCTTAGGAATAAACATGCAATTTTCAAGTCTATATTAGGAATTTTATCACTTGTTTATAAGCTTTGCAAATTTACTTAAATGTTAGTACAAAGCTCAATGTAAAATCATACATTTGGTAAATGTTTACAAAATTCTTACAAAATGAGATTTTCTAATGGGAAAATAATTAGGTGTTAATCTGTAAAGGATGTTTAGAGCTATAAATAGAATCTTGGTTAAAACGTTACAGATTTATTCACGATGATTCATCCTGTGAAAAACTAGTTTTAATTAAGTACTTATGTATATAGTTTAAATGCTACTTGGTTGTTTGATACTAATTATCGTGAAAAAATATTCGATTTTACAAGTAACTAATGCAGATACAAAAACCTTTGCACCAACAACAAACACTTCAGAACTTTGCCCCAATCAAAAATTATAATAATTTTAGTTGAACATGATAACGTTTGCAAACAAATATATGCCTGATAATAATACATACTATTTTTGAATAATGTTTATTTATTTATTTATTTATTTATTGATGAGCAAAGCCCATTTTTACAAAAGATTGATAAACGAATGGTGCCTTCAGCGAGGATAATCCTAAGACAGTCTGAAGCTCAGGATAATTCATTGCATAACCATTGGCGATCCTTGATGCTGCATATCTAAGAAATTTGTGTTGAATATTTTCCAAAGCATTTACATAAGTTGCATAAAAAGGATTCCAGACTGAGAATGCATACTCTAGGATCTTACCAATGAGCAATATAGTGACTTTAGAGCAGATACATTTTGAAAGTCAATCAAAGATCGCTTCAAAAATCCCAGCATCTTGAGTGCTTTGGATTTTATTGATGTTATGAATGGGATAAATGTGAGTGACCAATCAAAAAAAAAAGCCCAGATCCAGTATAGTGTACACATGATCCAAAATACTAGCATCAAATTACATACTCAAAAAGCAAAGGGTCTCAGTAACTGAAACATGCCATCAAATGACACTTGGAGGTGTTGAGCGCCATGCCATTCTGCTCATACCATCTCACGAAGTTGTTCAAATCTGACTGAATGAGTTCACAATCATGATGGGAGCCAACTCTAAGAAATATCTTAAAATCATCAGCAAAAAAAATTTATTTCGAAAATTTAAAGCAGTTCTGAATACCATTAATGGACCCACTTGTGACCCTTGGGGTACACCTGATGTGACATTAATCACTTTGGAATTAAAGTTATGAACCCTAACGATCTGACACCGATCTTGTAGATAACTTCCAAACTACTTCAATAAAGTTACGCTGATTCCCGTTGTCTCAAGTTTAGATAATAGAACCCCATGATTGACCCTGTCAAAAGCCTTGGAAAAGTCAGTGCAGACAGAGTGCACCTCACCACCATTCTCCAAGTTCTCCGACAGAAAGTCAACATACGAAACGAAAGCAGGTTAATTTCGGTGGACCTTTCAGACTGAAACACAAACTGTTGATCCATGAAAGCCACCAAAAGATTCAGTCAGATGCTCGGTTATAATGTTCTCAAATAATTTGGGTATTGTATTCAAGATACTAACAGGTTTGTAGTTTTTTACTTCTGATCTGTGGCCAGACTTATGGATAGAAACTATAAAACTGGTTTTCCAACAGAATGGTAAGTAGCCGGTATTCAGTGAGACATTGAAAATTAGAAATAAAGGTCTAGCATGAACAAAACTACAATTTCTAAGTAAACTAGGGGGCCCAGGACCCTTACCGCAATCCAATGTGGTCAACTTGGTATAAACCTCCGACATTTTAAAATCAACCTTTGATACATTAATATTATTAGATGAGCATTGACTACATAGGAAAATCACAGTTATATTAATACATATAAAATTATGTTATTCCAGGTGTGGGCCTGGTAACTAGAAAAGTAGGCGGCGCAGTATCCCCGGTGGTCGATCTGCAAAAGGAAGGCGAAGAATACGTGCTTTCTTCCAACTCCACTTTCAAGAACGTCGTTCTCAGATTCAAACCGGGCGTCGAATTCGACCAAGATACTCCCGACGGCAGGAAAGTCAAATCCACCATCACCGTCGAAGGTAACACCTTGAAAGAGGTGCAAAAAGCCGGAGATGGTAAAGTGACCACCATTGACAGGACTTGGACTGATGATGAAATTAAAATGGTGAGTATTTTATTTATACACTGTACATGTAAAACAAAATTTTCATTTTTTCAGGTCATGTCTGTAGGCGATGTCACCGCTACCAGAACCTACAAACTCCAAGCATAATTATTTTCCAAGCTTGTTCATTCCAAACGCTGTCTGAAGCCATTTTTTTTTAATAAAATAAACTTTAGTTTTGTTTTTTTTTTTATATATATTTTTCTACTACTGATAGTATGAAGCAAATACAAGGTATTGATTTAGTTGAAAAATTCGAAATTATTAATATTTTTTTTGTATACCTACTATAAATGTAGCTTGTTATAACTAGATTTTTGTATTCCAGATGATTGTCTAGTAAAATTTGCATCACAAAAATATAAGAGTGTGTTTTTTATTTAAAGAATCCAAAGAGTTATCTACTCAACAGGTGTCCATTTTCCATTTTTAGCCGTTTTCTATCCTTAGGCTATAAGCCTCTTTAAAATTTGACCATTGTCTTCGGGTTTGCGCAACTCGGTAGGTACCAATTTAAGCCTGCAATCTTCTTTATCTCGTACCATTTTTGTTGGGGTCTTCCAATACTTCTCCTCTCTTCCATCTAGTGATATACCCGCTCCAGTTTTCTGTATGTCTGGCCACGTGTCCTGCCCATTGCCATTTTAAAGAATCAATTCTTTTTATTATGTCGGAGACTTTGGTTCTTTCCCTTATCTATGTATTTGTTTTGTGATCTTTCAAGGAAATTCCTAAAATTCGTCTTTCAATGGCTCTCTGATGTACTTCCAATTTGTGTTTAACTTTTCTGGTTATCACCCAGGTCTCGCAACCATACATGACAAGACAACAGGCAGTTATAGACTTTTGATTTTAAAGTCATTGGGATATTCATGCTGAAGATGTACTTTAATTTGCCGTAAGCCGCCCATCCCAGTCTAATTCTCCTATCAATTTCCATTTCTTGATTTTGTTTGCCCGGTATTATAGCTTGGCCAAAGTATATGTATGTTTCTGTCTTTTTTATTGTGCTGTCATGGATCGGTATTGTTTCGTCTGCATCTGGTGTATTTGTAATAAACTGAGTCTTTGTGTAGTTCATGGTGTAATCCTACTTTTGCCTGTAGTTCTTCCAACATATCTATCAATTCCTGTTTGTCTTCTGCGAATAGTACAATATCATCGGCAAATCTTAGATTGTGCAGGCGTTCACCATGTATGTTCAATCCTTTGTTTTCCCACTGTAGCTTTTTGAAAATATCCTCGAGCACTAAAGTGAATAGTTTTGGAGATATCATGTCACCTTGCCAAACTCCTCTTTCTGGCGTTTATTCTGTTAGATGATTCATGAAGTCTTATCGACATTGTCGAAGTCCTATAGATGTTTTCAATGAGGTTTATATAATGTTGATCCACTCTGGCATTTCTCAAGGATTTTAATGTTGCCCAGATTTCTACTGTGTTGGAGGCTTTTCGGAAATTGACAAAAGCCATCCATAGGTTTATATTCTGTACCTTCCTCGATCATCTGCCTTACTGTGTGTAGTACTGTCGTGCTATAATGGCTTCGGAATCCAGCCTCTTCTACTGGTTGGTAAACTTTGAGTTTTCGCTCTAATCTGTTGGTGATTATTCTGGTGAATAATTTATATATTTGTGATAATAATAAGCTTATCGGCCGGTAGTTTTCGAGATCCAGTCGGGTCACCTTTCTTGTAAATCAGAACAACTACAGCATTCTCCCAATCTTTGGGTAAGTATATGTTCTTCTGTTAGGCACTTATTGAAAAGTTTCACTAGTTCTTGTCTCATCTTAGTATCGCTTTCCTTGAACATTTCAAGCAGAATGTTGTCTTCTCCTGCCGCTTCACCATTTTTCATCTGGGATAACCCTTTCCCCAGTTCTTCTATATTTTTGTCGCACATTTCTTCTGAGTTTGCATTTAATATTCGTATTTTGTCTTCTCTTGTCTTTGTTTTTGCTATTTTAGATTCGTACAGATCTCTATATAGAAAGATTCCACAACTTTTAATATCTGCCGTCTGTCTTCTATACTTACTATGTTCTTTTTCGCGTGTTTTATTTTTGTTATCTCTTTCTTAGGTGTATTATGTCTTTTAAATATATTTAGTCCTTGTTCTAATAGGAATTATACTTGTTTCGTTTGATGTTTTAGTAGGTATATTCCGTTCCACCATTTTTCTTGCTGTTTTTTTGGTTTCTGTTTATTCAATAGTGTCTCTTTAATCCTCGGTTATCAGTTTTCTACTTTTCTCTCGTAGCTACTGTTTCGTTTTTATCGACAGTTTGTCCGGAGTTTTCTCTAGCGGGCCTATTATCTGTTCTGCTGTTTCTTTTATAACTTTTGTTATTCTCCTATTATTATCATCGAAGATTCTTCTGTTTTTCCTGGATTGTTGGAAAAGTTTTCTTTCAGCCTTTGTTTGTATGTTTCCCTTCTTTCGGCTATCTTTTCTCTACTTCCTCTCTTCGTCGTTTGCTTCATCTTCCTTTTCCTTTCCATTTTTGTGTTTATGAGCAGTTTGCATCTTGTGATTACTGCCGGTGTTGAATTGATTGACTACATCTACGTCTTGGATTATGTGTTTATGGCGGGAGATTATAAAGTCAATCTCATTTTTGGTTTCTTCATCTGGGATATTCCATGTCCATTTACGTTTCTCTTTCTTTTGGAAGAAAGTGTTCATCAGATAGAGTCTTTCTCTTTCTAGAAAGTTTGCTAACATTCTTCCCCTTTCATTTCTGGTACCGAGTCCGAACTGTCCTATGTGTGTTTCCGTTGGTTCTGCTCCTCTGCCTATTTTTGCATTAAAGTTCCCTCCTAGAATAGTGTGTGTTGTTGGGCTCGCTCTTATTGTTCTCGCTATGTCTTCATATACCGTTTCCACCTCGTCATCTTCATGTGAGGAAGTTGGAACATAAGCTTTGTATATATCAACTAGTGTAGCGAGTATCATCAAAGGTTCTGGACTAGAATCGTAAAGGGTAATCGCATCAGAGAGCAAAGCAAAACATTCTTGGAGGAAGATTCTCTACAAAAAGAGAGAACTCTCTAGTCGTTTACTGATAAACCGGTTCTTGAAGTTGAACTTTTTAAACTTCTGACCAAACGTAGAGTTAAAACTAAAGCTACTTCAACTGCGAAGGCATGAAAATTTCATTATTCTCGGCTCTTGTAAAGCCAGATTTGAACTTAGAAAGCATTAAATTCTTATTTTTATTCCTAATGATTATTCCAAGCGTAAAATTTAACAATAAAAAGCATGAAAACTCTATCTTAAAGTCTCCTGAAGCCAATATTAGACTTGAAAAGCATAAAAGTCTGATTGCTAATTATTTCAAAGTTAAAGTTGAACTAGAACTAAAGCGGTTCAAGAAGCTAACATTCTACTAGAATAATGTGGAAATCTTTTTCTTAGAGTTGGAATTTGAGCCTCTGACCATTCTAGAGATGAACCTGAAGTTTCTCCAAATGGAAAGGCATAAAACTTTTATTCCCGGCTCTTGTAAAGCCAAATTTTGAACTAGCGAAGTACAAAAGTCTGATTTTTGACTAAAGCTAAGAGTTGATCTTTGGAACTTCTGACCAAATCTTTAGTTAAAATTGAAGTTAGTTCAACTGCGGAGGCATGAAAATTTTATTATTCTCGGCTCTTGTAAAGCCAGATTTGAACTTGAGAAACATACATTGGAAACATATTACAAGATGCTGGTGGAAAGTGTTTTGGAACGTTCTTATAACGATAAGTTATACTTTTATAAATGGAATAAATGTCTACAAATTTAGTCTAAGGGTGGGTTTGATTATTTTTCCAGACTTTGTCCGTCTTTGCTCGGAGTAACTTTGGGAAGTTCGTCTTAATTGTTCGATCAGTGGTTCTGTTAGAGTTTTTGGTTGACCATCTGAAGTTTCTTCGTTTCTTCTCCTGATTTTCAAGATTGGTAGGCGTCACAACTATTTCGTTATTATTTATATTGAAATCAGCTTTTATTTTATGAACTTGCCTACCAAGTATTTCTTTGCCGTCCGATGTTCGTAAGAATACTGACCTTTTTGTTTGATCATCAACTTTTGTTCTGGTTGCACCTTCCCATTGTCTGTTGGAAAGTTGTACTCTAACTGCATAATCTTTTTCCTTTTCTCATTTTTTCAATTTATTTGTGATATCTTTTACAATATCTGGTTTCAACTTTTCACTGTTTGCTGGAAGTAATGTCCTGGTAATTCTGCTAAAAAGTCTTTGATTAGGTGAACTAGTGACAGGCTTCTAGATGTATTTCTGTAGTTGAGTAACGCAATCTGTATGTCTGATTTGTCGTCTGTACATTCTTTTAACAGATTTTTCGCAATTTGAACACCTCTTTCCGATAAGCAATTGTTTCTTGGATGATATGGACTACTGGTTGCATGCTGAAAACACTATTTTTTGAAAAAATCTTTAATTTCTCTAGAAGTATATTGCGTTCCATTATCAGTTTCTAGTTTTTCAGGAATTCCATGAACTGCAAACCGTTCTTTGAGATAGTCGATTATGATACGATATTTGTTGGTGTCTTTAAGTTTTTGATAGCTTCCGCCTTGGTATCATCAATTTCCAATACCATTTTCTGATAAAATATGCCCAAGAAACTTAACTTTTCTAACATTGAAAATGCATTTTTCCTTATTGAGTTTCAATCCAGAATTTTCCAATGTTTCCATTACTTTTTTAGTAATTTTTTCTATACCTTCCTGGGAGTCGGAATAAATAAGAATATCGTCCATTGAGCAGTGAGTGTTTGGAATGTTTTTTAACAAGGAACTCATTATTTCTTGAAATACCTCTGGTGCTGAACAGATTCCAAATGGTAGACGCTAAGGGTAGACGAGTGCAACTATAACGCTCCCATGGTGCTGAAAACTTGAGATATTTTCGAGACTGCTTTGCAACTTTTATTTGCCAAAACCCTCGTTTGCAATTTAAAAGTGTAAAATATTTGGCTCCACGTATTTGTGCTGAAATTACTTCCATGGTTTTCATGGCTTCCATGAAATCAAATATTGTATTTATAATTTATTAAACAACCCGATTCTTGAAAAATGCTATCATTGGACTCTGTTGTTTCGCAGGAATGTACACGTACAATTAAACCTAGTTCGTGACAAGATTTTCTTCCTAAAATGGGCTGCACCTCTTCATTGACTATCTTATATCTCTACTAAGGTTTTATCAATATGACATTTCACTTGTGCTTCACCTATTACAGCTATTTTGTCATTATTGTATAGCTAACCAAAATTTTAGTTTTTGAAGGTTTTAGCTGCAATTTTGGTTTATCAAAAAGCCGTTTTGGTAGAACATTACATTGGGCTCCAGTATCGAATTTTACCAAAAGTGAAGCTGCTTGAACTTCTTTGGGTTTCTTTGATAATTGTGTAGCTATAGCGTAACATTCAAACTGTTGTATCCAATTTTTTCATTCTTTTGCCATATTTTCGGAGTTTAAAACAAGGCGCTTTGGAGGACGTACACCAATAAATCCAGTGAATAGTTTCCCCAAATTAGGGTAATTTAATCGATGAAAGAATGGTTTAAAGAGAGAAAGAGTTTGCTGTAATCGCCTTGAAGACTGATTATCTGGTCTTAAATTCTGTCAGTAAAGGCCTACCCAAAAAAAAAAATAATAAAAATGGGGGACCGAAGTAACTGTCTGACCGAACTTCCTAAACCTGATATCTCCAAAATTATTGTACTTAGAGCAAAATATTAATAATAAAGTTAGAGTTAGAAATAATCAGTACACCTTGATTTTTAATATAAAAACTTTAATTATTTAAGAATATAAACACACACTGACACACTCAATAATAAATATACATACAAATAAAATTTGTTAATAAAATAATTAGCTGCCTGCAGTTGACAACAATAATAAACAAATTATAGACAATAAATCCAAAAATATAAATAATGTAAGTTGAAGTTGGGACCAATTAAAATTAAAACATTGTATACAAATAATATAAGAGAGAAAACAATTCAATTGTATAACGTACTCAGTAAACTAGCCAAAAATTTGTATCTAATAAATTGACCAGTTCAATACAAACTACATAACATCGATTTTGGCATAGTTTCCGACTAATTTTGTTCAATAAATTTACTTATTTATATACAGTAATTCTTCTTACATCTTATAAACAGACACCTAATAGAGATTAAAACAAAATTAAAATAGGAACAATAAGAGAAAGAAGAGAATAATTACTAAATTTTAGTAGGTAAGTAAAATTAAATAAATCTTGTTTTATCACTAGAAGGTTGCACTATCTAGAATAAGTTTTTTTTCAAGTTAATGTTTTATGAACGATAAAGCTAATTGCACAATATATTATAATATACAAAAAGAAGGCACTTAAAAGATTGCCAACATTTTGATTAAAAAAATTATACAAACTATAAATGTTGACAAGCCCTTAAAAAGCCTTATTCTATTTATCATTTATTTATTCAATCGACTGGCTATCAATCAAATGCCAAAATTTAAAAACAAGCTAGTTTTTTCTTCATTCTAAAATAATCTCACTCTCTAATTTTCGTCTCGAAATTATCGCCACTAGTACTACTACTAACAACAACAGTACTCTTAGGATTTATTCTGTCCAAAGAGTCCAAATTCCTGCTGCCTTTGTGCCTTCTTTCTGCTCTCCTACCTTCTGCGCTTATGTTTGTGCTTTGAGTTGTATTTCCTAAACTAAAAAATATATAAAATTTTGAATTATTTATGGGATAAATATTGTAAATTGTTACCTAGAAGATCTGCCTGATGTTAAACTGCTTTGGCTGTCATGTAGTCGACTTGATGAAGGTTTACTGGCGTGTCGTTCGTTGTCCCAATTTATGGATGAGATCTAGTTAGAATAAATTCTATTTAGTTCTAGACAATAATGATCAACCTTGAAATATAATTAAACTTGATTAAAGAAAAATAAAACATTAAAACATGAATGAAGTGCCTTTTTCCTAACTATAGGGACTCCAAAGGCAACAGTTTGAGGCTTGAGAAATGATAATTAAATGCCCGAAACTTTCCAGATCTAATGATTTTTTTATATTATGAACGCTTTGATTTTGTAATTTTCAGTTCAACTCCCAAGTAACTATTACCTGATTTTCCAAAGCTGGACATAAAGTTTGAGAATCTGACGTATGACTGGATTTGGATCCATTCAAGCAGTGTCGTTGTGGTGTGGGCTGGCATGAAGAAGGCACTGATTTGAAATATGCCCCTAAAAATCAACAAAAATAATATACAAGTGATCAATAATAATTTAATTTAATAGTAAATAAGTGAAAATTCCGTACCATTCGTACATCCACTCTGTTTCCACACTTTCAGTCTGTCGCTTATTTCTTTGAAATTGGGCCTCCTATTGGCCTGTTCTGCCCAGCATTCCACCATTAGGGCGTAACAGTAACTAGGACAGGCGTCCGGACAAGGAAGTAACTTTCTCGAGCGAATCATGTTTATCACTTCTTGGTTATTGTATCCATAATATGGCTGGAAACAAGAAATACGTAAAATCACATTTTTTAAATTATACAATGTTCAAAATATAAGCAATTTACATTGAAACTTTTTTTCCCAGTTAAATCCATCAGCTACATAACTCCCTTCCCTGTACTTCACGACTCCTCTCATTATTGTTGGGAAACCATTAGATGTTAACGGATTGTTCAATAAATAGTACTTATATACGATATTTTGGGTTCAAGGATTTTGGGAATAAATGTTCCATAATGCGACTGTTTGATTTCATGGATTAGGAAATATAACTAAATATTCCTGTTTTTTATTTGTGCAGATTGAGAAATGTGCATTAAAAAATCACAGGAAGAATCTTTTGGAACCTAAATTATGGAGCTGGCACGAGGTGGCATTCTGCAAAGTCTAGACACAGGACGTCGAAATGTTCTATTTTTCGTTTGAACATCAACCACTCTAATAATTTTGTCTGTTCCAGGATGAAGTTTTGTAATCTTTCCTAATGTCTAAGAATTTCTGGGTAGATTTTGGTCAATAATAACGACTATGTCTCCGATGCAAACAAGTTTGGAATCTTGAGTCCACTTTTCACGTTTTGTCAAGTAGGTAAATAATCTCTAAGCCACTTTGTCCAAAATAAATCTGTTAGCTATTGTGATTGCTTCTATAATGCTTCGAAATTAAAATTCTCAAACTTTTCTTGGGGGATCAAAACTGAACCAATTAGAAAATGGTTTGGTGTCAAACTTTCTGGATCATTTGGGTCCATCGAAATTTGGGTAATCGGTCTATTGTTTACAATATTTTCAGCTTCTATCATCACAGTCAGTAGTACTTCGTCTTTCGGAGCTTCTTCTTCCAATACATTTTGTAGCATTCTTTTTACAGATCCAATAAGACGCTACTACGCACCACCCATATGAAGTGTTATAAGTATTTATAAAATGATGAGTTGAAACAAGGTGAAGATAAATAACGACTGGTGGCTGACTAGTGATTGAATATTTTCATAAGAAATGCATTGCCACTGGTCAGCCACCAGTTGCAATTTATTTTCACCTTGTTTCAACTGACTTAGGAAATACGTTAACTTCTCCACTCGCTGCTCTAAAATTTATACCATTGTCCGAATACAAGTGTTGAATTACTCCTCAACGTGACTCAATCATTTGTCTAATCGCCATTATGGTGCCATCCACAGTAAGAGAAATAAGAGAATGAGCAATTTCGAGGTGTACAGCTCTTATCATCATACAGATGAAGATGACTCCCCATCGTTTTCCCTTATGTCGTCCCACAGTAACATATAATATAAATACAACATACAACTAACTCAAAATAATCAATATTAAAAATGTTTTTTTTTCTAAATTTCTGTCTCAAATTATCATGAAGGATTTCAATTCCAGTATGATAATTTCTCTCATGGTAATATTGAATGGTTAATTTCCTGAACCTGTTCTTGAGATCTAAAACAACTAGTGCTTTTACTGACTCGTCTATATCTGCATTTTCTATTCTACATTGCATTCTTATAATCCCATTTTTGTCAAAGAATGGTGATAATTGGAACAGTTTTGATGGAATCTTTACTTTGCCACCTTGTTCCAGCTCCATAATTTCAGTTCCAAAAGATTCTTCCTGTGATTTTTGAATGCACATTTCTTCCCCTCTCTGTATTTCTTTATAATTCAACTCTTGAGAAATTCGGGTATAGTTTTCATTTATTAACCCCAATAAATTGTTACGCGTTCTAAAGAACCAGGCAGTGGAGCGCACTAATCTTAACCATTTTGAAAATAGGTGGAAATCAATTTATTGAAGCTTATCTGATTAGCAAATAACTCCAATAAGCATACCAGAATTTTTTTCTTTTTTTCTTCACTGTCGTGTATGTCGCTAATGAAACTTATTTGTTCTGGCCAATATTCCTTCTGCATCTTTAAAAAACTTGGTCCATTATTCTAAATACTTTCACTGCCCAACTCAAAATCACTTTCTAATCTAGTGGCTTGATCTGCAATATTTAATTTTGTTGGTGCATACATCCAACAGTCATTAGAAGTTAATTCTTGAATTTTTCCAATTCTGTGTGACACAAACTGCTTGTAATTTCTTCCATCTCCACGAATCCAATGTAATACCGTCTTCGAATCCGACCACAAATGGGATTTGTCTATTTTTAATTTAATTTTTTGTTTTACTGTCTTTGAAAGTCTGCTACCCTTAACTGCCGCTTGCAATTCTAATCTTGGAATTGATAATTGTTTTTAAAGGCGATACTCGGGCTTTTGATGTTACAAAGGCTATTTGAATCTCTGATGCAGAAATTATTCGAAGGTAAACTAGTAGCAAATGCTTGTTCACTTGCGTCACAAAATGCATGAGCCTCTAAAGACTCACAGCTGGTCAGTTTTAAAGAATAGCATAGAGTAATATTAAGTTTTTCAATTCGCTGTACTTAGATCCTTTAACCATGTTTTCCAGCTGCTAAATATGCTGTCAGAAATAGAGTCGTACCATCCTATACCAGTACGCCATATTTTTTGGGGAATAATTCGCGCTCTAACAACAAGACATGTTAGAAATCTGAGCGGGTCAAAAACAGACATGATTAAACGAAGTGCTTATCGCATTTTTGGGTGTTCAATACCTTTTATCACCTTTTCAGGTAAATTTCTTAGTATCAATTTAAAGAGAAATGAGCCGATTTTAACATCCCACCATACTCCAAGTACTCTGTTGGTTACGACTTTATATACAATAATAAACTCCCCTTCATGATGTAAATTGATAATTTCATTTATTTTTTTGATAGCTTCATATTCTGTGGTACAAGAATCTAGGTAATCATCAACATCATTAGCTAAATGGGAATACTTTTCCGATTGCTTAGTATTTAGATTTTTAACGCATTGCACTTGGTCGCCCCAAAAATCATAACCTGCATTTCATACTCATGGATTTAGGTCTCCATTTCTCCACAAAAATCTTTAAGAATAGCGGTCTTCTTTTTGAATCTTTACTTGAAGGAACATCTCGACAATGTCACCACAAAAAGCAAATTCCCAACGCCTAACATGTATCAGAACTCCAAGAAGTGAAGTTAAAAAATCAGGACCGTTTAGCAAGTTCTCGTTGAGGCTCGTACCGTTTGATCTAGCAGCGGCGTCAAAAACTATTCTAAATTTATCTGGCTTATTGGGGATGATGATTCCAAAGTCAGAGATACCAATTTCTGGGGTGTCTTTTTGTAGTCTCGTTTTAGTTTTCTAATGTACATACTTTTTATTTTCAGAATCGGCTATTTTCTGGCAGTATTTTTCATAGTATATTGGATCTCTTGACATTTTTCTCTCAACACAAAGAAGTCGGTTTATAGCTTGTTGCCTTGATTCAGGCAAAACAATGTTTTCTCTTTTCCATAATAAGCAAGTTTCATAGCGATTTTCACAGTGTCCAATTTTACAGTGGTCTTTTTCAAAATACTTAATGCTCTTGTTTCTTGTTGGTTAATTAATTTATTAGTCACAGTTACTCCAAAATTTTCAGTTGAAAAAGTGTCCGTAACAAGTTGATTGCAACATCCATACTCGTGATTATAAAAATATGTAAAACTAATCCATGTGTCATTGTTTCTATCATCATTACTGTGAATGAGCCATCCCAAATGAGTTTTGGTTGCAATTGGTCAATTTCAAGCCGCACAGTCAAATGTATATTGTCTTGGTCTATTAAAAGAGTGGGTTTTGCATTTATCATGTCAGAAATTGGTAGCCTGCAAGTGGTTATCTTCCAAATTTTCTATTATTATTTGTGATGGTAAATTCAGTTCTTTCATTGTTCGTACACTCTTAAGGTTCATAATTTTCGCATTTTCATAAGAAATTTAAATGTCAAACATTTCAGATTCTTCGTTATTTAAAACTAATCCATAAGCCCATTTCATACAGAATGGATTTTTAGGACCTACCTCTAACCCCAATTTTGTTTGATAATCCAGCATCCATTAATACAACTGCAGATCCCTCGTCTACGAAAGCATGAACTTCAAATACGCTTATTGCCATATAATTTAACTTTCACTATTCTAAGTAGTACAGCTGAATTTGAATTGATGGTATTCACAATCAAATGCTGACTGTTAGTTGCCTCTAATCTTGGTTTTTTCTCAGAAAGATTTTGTTCAGGTGTCAATGACGGGTTGATTGTTCTTGTATATTCTTTATGTAGCAAATAATGATGTCTCTTCTTACAACCATTAGTACTGCATTGCTTCTCCGATTTGCATTCATTTTTTCTGTGTTTGTTTTTTGGATACTTCGTCTGGTCTTAATTTTTGAATTATCTGTACAACATGCAGCTGGAGCAATATTATTGCACCATTTTGCAGTCTTCTATGTTTACTCCATTTTTTCCTTTATCTTTAAACATATATCCCCATTACAGCCTTAAATTAATTGGAATCTTATATAGTAATTGTTCCATAATAGACTATTCACATGATTTTTAGCTTCAAGTTGTTCCAAAGTTCAACAAAATTATTTATTTGGTATGAAAATTTGATTAAATTGTAAAAATCTCCTTGTTTTACTGCTGGAAATTCTTGTAGTTTATTTGTCAAGGCCTCTAATACGTATTGTGGTCTTCCAAATCTAATTTCCAGGGTTTGGATCATTGAATCAACATTTTTTTGGATGGAGCATGATTACTTCCACCATTTCCAATGCTTCTGCTTTCAGACACCTTTGTAATTTTACCATTTTCTCATCATCAGTATAGTTACATAATTCAATTTTTCTGTTAGGTATATTGACTAATTTTCTTGTTTTTGTACTTGTAGTCTTAGAAGTTGAAGCTTTTGCTTTTCTTGATCTATGAGTAATTTTCTCATTTCAATTTCACGTTTTGATTTAGTAGAATTTCGATATTTAGCTTTTTGAACCCTTACATTTGCCAGCGTTGGACATTTTCTCACTATTTTGATTTACTCTTTTGCCAATAGTTTCACGTAAATCAAATCCCTAAAAAGACTTACTTGATGAAGAATATTTGTTTTAACCATCTATTTTTTAAGATTATCAAAGTTTGTCAAATTTCAATTTTTAATAGTTTTCTTTTCCTCCTCAAAATCCTTGAGGACTGATCTTCCACTTTAGTTCAAGGAAGGCCGAAGGACCATGTAATTTTCTTCTTCTTTCAGTAATAGAAAACTTCTTTTTATGATTGGGGATTTTTCAACTTTTATTCCAATCAATCAATCAATCAATACTCACAATACAATTTTTTACTTTCCTTTTTGGACTGGTAAAATTAAATATATATAGATATACAAACTTGAAGTAATTAAGTGAAAAAAAAAAAAAAAAAAGATTTTACAGGTAAGTTCCATTCAATGTAACATATAATCCTTTTCGAAGTTTTAGCTTTAATCGTTTTGTTTCTATATTCTCATCAACAGGCAAGAGTTTATCCTAATTCTTCAATTCCTCTTGAGACTTTTATCAATATCAAAGTAAGTGAAACACTTGACAAGTTTCAGCTTTCATACAGGAAAGAAATAAAAATTAAATAATTCCACATGTATTATTTCAGCAAGATTGTCTCAAAGTGGAGGGTTTATAGTGAAACAAATACAAGATATATTGGATATAATGTAGCAGCTGGAAAGATATAAAATATAAGTTGTACCAACCTGTAAACCATAACTATAAATTTCCCATAAAACGACCCCATAACTCCAAACATCGGATTCCGTAGTGAATTTTCCATAAAGGATTGACTCTGGCGGCATCCATCTTACTGGCAAAAGTGATTTGGATTGTACTCTTCAACAAAATAATAAATTAATTTAATGTTATTTGACATTTAAACTAACTATACCATTTCCAATAGTATTTAAGAAATTCATTCCATTAATCATATGGGAAATTTCTTAAATACAAATGACCATTCTAAAAATACTGGAAATGGTGTAGATCTTGTAGTCAAGTAAAATCACATAATCTTAAATATTAGTTCAGATGAATTTTACTCAACACGTATTATCAAATATTTTATGACTAAAATTTCTAATAAGCATAGGTCCGCAAACGCTTCGTTACCGATCTACAGGGTGTTGAAATTTGAATGCATTCATATTGAAAAAGAGTAAGAATATGGCGGCGAGGGGTGTCTTACTTCTAGATTTCCATTGAAAATGAGCAAGACTATGGCTGCGCGACCTCTATTGTCGCCACTGTAGGTAGAAAAGGTTTATTGAGTCACTTTAGTTTCATCTAGCTAATTAGAGATTTGTTTTTTACTTTTTTTCTCGATAAGGGTCAGTGATACGGAAAAACTACATAAGAACAAAAAGTTTCTAAATAGAAAAGAAAAATTATTTTATTTCTTGAAATCGATAATACTGCGAAAAAGTTCTGGGGCAGAAAAGGGGGCATGACCCCTGAAAAAACATCACCCTGTAGATTGTGGCAAACGTTTGACATGTGTAATCATTTAGCTTTTATTGCGTAACCTATATTCAAAATTTGAGCTAAATTTCTCAAAATTTGCAGGAGGTATCAAAGTTTTGACTTCCGGCCCCGGTACATCGAATGGGCGAAATGGAGGAATTTTAAACCGATGGTCCTATCGAGCTGAAATTTGGTACGAATGTAGTGGAACACGAGCTTTATCGAAAAAGGCCCCTATCTAAAACGCAAAGCCCACTGTGGGGGCACAAATTTATTATTTTTTTGGCCGATTCGGACGAAATTCGGAAGGTAAAAGAGGGTCTAAAAAAATTGATATTCCAAGTTTCAGCCTTCTCCGACCTAGCGGAGGGATTTTAGCCCCTATCCCTCAATTTTGAAAAAGGGCGTTATGATGCATACACGTTCTGCCCTTACTTTTCAAAATTTCGAAAAATAAAAAATACCATCGGATAGAGGCGCAAAAACTACGTCGAAAATGTCTCTGGGTGTTTTTCGCTCTGAGGCTTCCTAAGCCCGCAAAAAAAATAAAAAAGATTTGGATCCTGGAAAATTTTGGGAATCCAACACGGCGCCACCAATGACGCCACATTTTCGCTCATAGCTTCGGTATTTTTGAACCGAAAGAGGATTAAATAACCTACCTTTTATTGATATTCCAGGTTGTTTCTGTCTCCAAGATATAAGCCGTCAAATTTGAAATTTCTCTGAAAATGTATTAAAAGTTTCGGAGTCGATTTTCTCAAAAACGGTGCCCCGGGGAGGGGTAACTCTAATAAGCTTTTTTTGTAGTTCCCAATAAGATCTAAAAGTTTTATATTCAAGGTTTTTCTCCCAGACTCTCTGTTTTCCAGCTAGGATGCTTTGAATATTAAAAAAATAAAAATAAAGGCTGTTTTGAATTTTTCATGTCGGTTGGAACAGAGCTAATGAAAGCAGCGATGAAAAGACGTTTTCATTCAGCTGAGTTGAAAGTGGCCTATTCTAATCACTTACTTATTTACTGTAATTTAAAACTTTATTTCCTAATATCCAACTAACCTGTAATAATCGCAAGAATACATATCCCTACTAAGACCAAAATCGCTGATTTTCACCTCCAAATTTTTCGAGACTAAACAATTCCTTGCCGCCAAATCTCTGTGTACGTAGTGGTTTTCAGAAAGATATTCCATACCTACAAAACAAAACAAAAAATCCTATTTAGCTTCATAATACATAGCTAATATTGAACTCACCTTGTGCAATCTGAATGGCAATATCCAAAAACTGATCGTGCGTCAAACATCTAGCATTCTCCGGAGAGTTGGCTATCAAAAACTCGTGCAAATCGCCCTAAAATAATTGTTTTTTAAACATTTCAATGCAAAATACATTAGCACTTAACTGACCTCTGACATATATTCAAACAACATGCACATAGGTTCCTGTTTAGTAACCACCCCAAGCAAACAAATAATATTTGGATGTTTTAACTCGGAAATTAGCTCAATCTCTCGCTGAAAATCTGCTTGCGTTTTCGCTGAAGCATTTTCCTTCAGCGATTTTACTGCTACAAAAACCTTGCCGGTCTTAGTTTTCAGTTCCCCTTGATACACTTTACCTATGAAAAAATATTTAGTTTTTGCAATGTATTGGTAATTTGGATAGTTACCAAATGCTCCTTCTCCGAGTTCCTTAATAAACCTGACTTCCTTGTAGGTGTACTGCGGCAAACTCTGATAACCGATTTTGCTGTGGGCGTGATTTCTTTGGTTCGTGGGTATGTTATTTGGTGGCAATAAACTGTTTAGTTCTATGGGACTCGAAGGGCCTGGGTTACCGTAGATGTTTTTGTTGACTTGTGGCAAATCCTTCTAGAGCAAATGAGAATGTTAAGAATTTGTATCGATAAGACAAATTTCTTCACTTACATTCTGAAGATTCCTTGCAATTTTGCCTTTTCTCTTGCAGTAACAATAGGCAAATACTAGGCTCACGATAATTGTGATGACCAGCAAGATTCCAACCACATATGTTCCAAAAACGTACACTGTAAGGAAAAATCTAGAATTAGTTTGTACTTTAGCAAATTATAGTAAATTTCAATATGTATATTGGTTAAAAAGTCTTAAAAATGTAGAGTTTCCAGATGATATATTTGAAAAAATTATCAGTAGGCTACAAATTTAGCAGAGATAAATCAAATTTTCATTATTATCAGCTCTTGATTCACTTCTGTAAACATTCAATAGGCCAAACTTACTAACTAATGTACTTACCACATTTAGGTATTCCACATACTTCTTGTCTATTGTGCTCAACGTAGCAGAATGGCTCAGATTCCGTTTTACCAGGATTTCTAAATTAAAAAGATTAAATTGCTATCATTTCATGAGAAAATATTTTATTTTGTCTATCACAGAGTAATCGAAAGGTAAGCCACCTTGGAATTATAGTGTACAAACATATGGGATTCCAGTAGCAATTTACGCATTAGTTCAATAACTCATTCATTTTTAATTCAGAATTTTCACTCATTAATTCAAAAACTTTCAGGTTAGCATATTTCTACAGTTTTTTCATGGAACTTTGATTTGGAGCTTCAGATAAACTTCAAATGGATTTTTCCATATGAAAATATATATGATTCTAATCCTAAAAGTTTCAAATCACTGTGATCATTAGAAGTATTTTGCACAAGTGGTTTTTGCAGATTTACATGCATTAACATGAGAAACAGCTTCTAAATTTGAATTGGAGCTTCAAATTAACTTTTCCAGAAAGAGGAAACTTCAATTAATAAATCCTGAAAGTTTCAAGTCATTGTGATCATTTGAAGTACTTTGCACAAGTGATTTTTGCAGATTTTAAGAATTTTTGCATGCATTACCATAAAAAAAAGCTTCTAAATTTGGTTTGGAGCTTCAAATCAACTTCAAATTAACTTTTTAACAAAGAAAAAACTTAAAAAAATAAATCCTGAATGTTTCAAGTGACTGTGATCATTAGAAGTACTTTGTACAAGTGATTTTTGCAGATTTTAATCACTTTCGCATGAACTAACGTGAGAAAAAACTTCCAAATTTAATTTGGAGCTTCAAATCAACTCCAAATTAGGTTTTCCACAAAGAGAATACTTAAAAAAATAAATCCTGAAAGTTTCAAGTCACTGTGATTATTTGAACTACTTTGCACAAGTGATTTCTGCAGATTTCAATCATTTTTGCATGCATTAAAGTAAGAAAAAGCTTCCAAATTTAGTTTGGAGCTTCAAATCAACTTCAAGTTAACTTTTCCACAAAGAGAAAACTTAAAAAAATAAATCCTAGAAGTTTCAAGTCACTGTGATCATCAGAAGTACTTTGTACAAGTGATTTTTGAGGATTTTAATCACTTTCGCATGCATTAATGTAAGAAAAAACTTTCAAATTTGATTTGGAACTTCAAATCAACTCCAAATTGGGTTTTCCACAAAGAGAAAACTTAAAAAAATAAATCCTGAAAGTTTCAAGTCACTGTGATTATTTGAACTACTTTGCACAAGTGATTTCTGCAGATTTCAATCATTTTTGCATGCATTAACGTAAGAAAAAGCTTCCAAATTTAGTTTGGAACTTCAAATCAACATCACGTTAACTTTACAACAAAGAGAAAAATTTAAAAAATAAATCCTGGAAATTTCAAGTCACTGTGATTATTTGAACTACTTTGCAAAAGTGATTTCTGCAGATTTCAATCATTTTTGCATGCACTAAATTTGGAAGTTTTTTCTTACGTTAAAACTTCCAAATTTAGTTTGGAGCTTCAAATCAACTTCAAGTTAACTTTTCCACAAAGAGGAAACTTAAAAAAATAAATCCTGAATGTTTCAAGTGACTGTGATCATTAGAAGTACTTTGTACAAGTGATTTTTGCAGATTTTAATCACTTTCGCATGAACTAACGTGAGAAAAAACTTCCAAATTTAATTTGGAGCTTCAAATCAACTCCAAATTAGGTTTTCCACAAAGAGAATACTTAAAAAAATAAATCCTGAAAGTTTCAAGTCACTGTGATTATTTGAACTACTTTGCACAAGTGATTTCTGCAGATTTCAATCATTTTTGCATGCATTAACGTAAGAAAAAGCTTCCAAATTTAGTTTGGAACTTCAAATCAACATCACGTTAACTTTACAACAAAGAGAAAAATTTAAAAAATAAATCCTGGAAATTTCAAGTCACTGTGATTATTTGAACTACTTTGCAAAAGTGATTTCTGCAGATTTCAATCATTTTTGCATGCACTAAATTTGGAAGTTTTTTCTTACGTTAAAACTTCCAAATTTAGTTTGGAGCTTCAAATCAACTTCAAGTTAACTTTTCCACAAAGAGAAAACTTAAAAAAATAAATCCTAGAAGTTTCAAGTCACTGTGATCATCAGAAGTACTTTGTACAAGTGATTTTTGAGGATTTTAATCACTTTCGCATGCATTAATGTAAGAAAAAACTTTCAAATTTGATTTGGAACTTCAAATCAACTCCAAATTGGGTTTTCCACAAAGAGAAAACTTAAAAAAATAAATCCTGAAAGTTTCAAGTCACTGTGATTATTTGAACTACTTTGCACAAGTGATTTCTGCAGATTTCAATCATTTTTGCATGCATTAACGTAAGAAAAAGCTTCCAAATTTAGTTTGGAACTTCAAATCAACATCACGTTAACTTTACAACAAAGAGAAAAATTTAAAAAATAAATCCTGGAAATTTCAAGTCACTGTGATTATTTGAACTACTTTGCAAAAGTGATTTCTGCAGATTTCAATCATTTTTGCATGCACTAAATTTGGAAGTTTTTTCTTACGTTAAAACTTCCAAATTTAGTTTGGAGCTTCAAATCAACTTCAAGTTAACTTTTCCACAAAGAGGAAACTTAAAAAAATAAATCCTGAATGTTTCAAGTGACTGTGATCATTAGAAGTACTTTGTACAAGTGATTTTTGCAGATTTTAATCACTTTCGCATGAACTAACGTGAGAAAAAACTTCCAAATTTAATTTGGAGCTTCAAATCAACTCCAAATTAGGTTTTCCACAAAGAGAATACTTAAAAAAATAAATCCTGAAAGTTTCAAGTCACTGTGATTATTTGAACTACTTTGCACAAGTGATTTCTGCAGATTTCAATCATTTTTGCATGCATTAACGTAAGAAAAAGCTTCCAAATTTAGTTTGGAACTTCAAATCAACATCACGTTAACTTTACAACAAAGAGAAAAATTTAAAAAATAAATCCTGGAAATTTCAAGTCACTGTGATTATTTGAACTACTTTGCAAAAGTGATTTCTGCAGATTTCAATCATTTTTGCATGCACTAAATTTGGAAGTTTTTTCTTACGTTAAAACTTCCAAATTTAGTTGGGAGCTTCAAATCAACTTCAAGTTAACTTTTCCACAAAGAGAAAACTTAAAAAAATAAATCCTAGAAGTTTCAAGTCTCTGTGATCATTAGAAGTACTTTGTACAAGTGATTTTTGCAGATTTTAATCACTTTCGCATGCATTAATGTAAGAAAAAACTTCCAAATTTAGTTTAGAGCTTCAAATCAACATCAAATTATTTTTTCCACAAAGAGGAAGCTTCAGTTCATAAATCCTGAAAGTTTCAAGTCATTGTGATCATCAGAAGTACTTTGTACAAGTGATTTTTGCGGATTATAATCACTTTCGCATGCATTAACGTAAGAAAAAACTTTCAAATTTGATTTGGAGCTTCAAATCAACTTCAAATATACTTTTCCACAAAAAGAAAACTTTACAAAATAAATCCTGAAAGTTTCAAGCCACTGTGATCATTTGAAGTACTTTGCACAAGTAATTTTTGCAGATTTTAGTTATTTTTGCATGCATTAACGTAAGAAAAAGCTTCTAAATTTAGTTTGGAGCTTCAAATCAACTTCAAATTAACTTTTTCACCAAGACGAAGCTTGAGTTCATAAATCCTGCAAGTTTCAAGTCATTGTGATCATCAGAAGTACTTTGTACAAGTGATTTTTGAGGATTTTAATCACTTTCGCGTGCATTAACGTAAGAAAAAACTTCCAAATTTGATTTGGAGCTTCAAATCAACTTCAAATATAACTTTTCCAAAACGAGAAAACTTTGAAAAATAAATCCTGAAAGTTTCAAGTCACTGTGATCATTTGAAATACTTTGCACAAGTAATTTTTGCAGATTTTAATCATTTTTGCATGCATTAACGTAAGAAAAAGCTTCCAAATTTAGTTCGGGAGCTTCAAATTAACTTTTCCACAAAGAGGAAACTTCATTTCATAAATCCTAAAAGTTTCAAGTCACTGTGATCGTTTGAAGTACTTTGTACAAGTGATTTTTGCAGATTTTAATCATCTTTATATGCATTAACGTGAGAATAAGCTTCTAAATTTAGTTTGAAACTTCAAATTAACTTTTCGACAAAGAGCAAACTTCAATTCATATATCCTGAAAGTTTCAGAGTCCAAAATTTCATTCATCGTTAGTGGAATTCCAGTAGGATTACGTGGGATTTCAGTAGGATTCCGTAGAATTCCAGTAGGATTCCATTAAAAGTGGGATTCTGGTGTACGTAATTTTCAAGGTGGTTTATCTCGCTTATAATGTAAATCATTGTTAATATTGGCACTCTTTCATCTATAAAAATTGTATAATTCACCTGCAATAGTTGTGGCCAGCAAGTTCCGGATAATCCGACGGAAGCAAATGAAATTGATGCGACCATTTAATACAAGGTTCTCCAGCTATAGTCATATTTTGAATGCCTTTATACGAAACTCCCAAATCCCAGAAGCACTGTTCATCTACAAAACAATTTTAATCATTATCAGAATTTGTTTGTCTTGCAAACTGCACAAAATAAAGCAAATCAGTACACTGCAAAGCCCTTTGTAATCTAGTCGATAATAAATTCAAATCCTTTACCTTTATTTCCTTTGAAGTCGCCCACACCTAGCGACAAACAATGACTCGAACTGGGGTCCATTTCGACTGGGAGATTTTCACACACTTCCAGTTCCATAATTTGTCCTACATATAGAATAATTTCAGTAATAATTTAAATGTAAACATATGTACATTACCTATTACTGGATGCCTTTTCGCGATAGAATACTCTTTACTACACAATTCCGTCTCTAGTAACATACATTCGTCCCTGCAAACTCTCCTTAAACTATTTGTTAGCTTTTTCCGAATGTTTTTGAATTTTTTCTTTGTTTCATTGGTTACCAGTTTGAAATCTGCTATGTGAGTTTGCTGATATTGGTTCACCACTCTGTAATCTAAACACAAAGGGAAGGCCGAGAAGCAGATACTTGGCTGGGCGAATTTGTTGCAACTAGTCGATATATCACTAAAAAGAGAGGAATCTGGTAAATAAATAAAATGAAAAATTAATATAAAAGTATGCTTCTACTCAGGTTTCATAAAACTCCTACATTAGAAGTATTTCTATGGAACCGGGGCGAAAGCATATTATTGTGTAAATGATACTTGGAAATACCAAACAGAGAAAAAAAACTCAAAATCTCTCGTTAATGAAGTTTAATAAGCAAACTTTAAAACCCTGAGAAAAGAACTGAAAAATGACCAAGATGGAATCTTATGGAAGATTTACATGTAAAACTGACTGAAATTGTGGCCGAACTGTCACTGCTTATCTACTATTTTTCCACAAAACAAAACATTATTTGTTCCTAAAATCCCTGAAAACATTTTCCCAACATAAAATAAATTTTATTGTAGTTTTCCCTTTGGTCCACAACGTTATATTTTCCCCAGAAGTCCATGTTATGTCCGGTAATTCCGGACAAAAGGGCCCGGCAAACAAATAAAAACTAAACACACAAACAACTGTGCATAATACGGGACAGAGATACTTACTTGGACCTAGATATCACTGCGAAAGCATTAAACAGTTTATTTTCGACTTCTTCCTGTGTATAGGGTGGCTGAACGAAAACGTATTTATTAGATAGGAAATTCTTGCAAACGTGTCCCCTGGAAAATAACAAAACTCTTGAAGACTTTAGTTCAAATGTGAAAAATTCTTACTTGTATACTTGACAAAACGGTTCTGAGGCATTATAAATGACGGCGTTGTTTGCAGTTTCAGTGTTGTCAGTCAATTTTCCACTACTATCAACATCGAATGTGATTGGGGCACTGAAAGTTTTCGATTTTTGTGGTACCGTAGAAAGCAAATTCCTTTGCGGACCTTCGTCTTTTGTTATGGCGTTTGGTAGAAAGGTAGTCATATCTGCTCCACCACTAAGAAATATGATTGTTATGAATGAATATGACAATTATGTGAGCACTTACCTATCTTCATCTGGATTTCCAAATGTCAGTGAGTTAATAGCAGTACTTCCTAAATAAATTAAAATTATTTAAAGGACAAAATCTCATTGGCAGCAAATTCTTACCCCATTTTCGAGCCTCAGGAGTGACCAACAGAGTGCATTGGGATTTGATTTTGTCCACCCCATTACTGGCTCTGCACTCAATAAAGCCCTGGTCGAAATAATCCAATTTTTTTATGGTCAAAACCGATTTCCAATTGCTATCTTTTTCCTGAAAAAACAATGCAAATTTCATTTACATTTTCGTGAATTTTATGTTTTCTTACTGTGACGATGCGAATTTTTATTCTTTTGTCGCCCCTGTTTATTGGTTTTTCGTTGATTTTCCATAAGAATTTCACTTTTGTATTGTTTGCATCTGAATTGTGGACGTGACAGACAAACTTTGCAGTAGTGCCTGGATCTCGTGTAACGTTTGCAAGCTGACCCAAAAATGTCAATGTACCTGGAACCATTTTAATTAAATTGGAATTAACTTTACACCAAATGCCAAAGAATTTTATCAGGATTCTATTCAATAAACTTACCATTCGATGTAGAATTTGTAGTAGCATATTCGTCTTCGTAGTCATCACCATCTTCGTCGTAATCTTCATCGTAGTCCGTCAGTCCGGAAGCAACTGTAAACAAGAAAAATTATGTTCAAAATAAGCCAATAACTAATAACCTATTTAAATAATTTATATTTTTAAATACCAAGAAAATCTCTGCCATTTAAATTCTATTCACCCAGCAGAGCAACATAAACTTTGGAGTCATTGAAAAATTATGCTAGAAAAATGTCGCGTTTGGCCCAAGACTTTAGGGAAGTTTTATTAAATAAAATGGTAATGAAGTGGAAACAAAAACGATAAAAGAAAGTCCATAATATAAAACATTTTCATGCGAACATAGACCAACAAATCTGTATCATTAAAAATATGAATATTCTATACTATTTTATAGGGCAAGTACACGATCTGACAGTTTGACACTATTGACAGTCGCCCTGAGGTAAAACAAAGATATAATTTACAGTGTTTTTTAAATTTTTAGTTAGATTTTTTCAAATAAATACCTTTTGTGTGCTCCAGAAGTTTCTTGGACATGCCTAGAGTTTGTTTAGTTGTTAATTGTGGCAGTATAGCCCAAGGGATACAATATCCTTCCATAGGTTTCCATCAATTTTAAATAACAATAGGAGGTTTGATTTGTTAGCTCAAGAAAGAAGAGAAAAATAGATTAATGTTGAAAGAAAAATAGATTGAATATAGAGTAACTATAGGTACTTATATATTTGTTCTTGTGACACTTTATTTTGATATTTGTTGGAAAAAACCTGAATTTAAGCCATTATAGGAAAACCTAGCAAACTTTTAGATAAAAGACCACATAGACTGGAACACAAACACTTCGCTCTAACATTTTTCAAACAAAATAACATCAAAACTTGTAAAAAAGCTGTGAAAACCACATAAAACATAACCGGCCTAATCTGAACGAATGTAAATAAATGATTTGTTTTACCTCAGGGCGACTGTCAAACTCATTTGTGACGTCACATGGACATGCCCTATTCACAAATTGTAGTTTTATAATTCGTAGTTTTGAGAGAAAAACTTTGAGGTCTCAGATTTTTGAAAACAGCTTTGTCCCCTGACATGTAGGGAGTTGAACTAGTGTCAAATATCCATTGATTTAGGGTTTTCCCTGTTATTGTACCGCCCTGTTCGTCTGTTTGGTCGCTGAAAAGTCTCGTGACTTGATTAGGTTAAGGAGCCTCTTCGCCGGGTTACTTTTGGTGAGTTTGAAAAATTGATAAATCACCCCAAATTGCTTAATACGATTTTATCTCAGTAACTATAAGTCCAAATGAGTTGAAATTTTCAGGGATTGAAGTCCTCTATTGGAAATAGAACCCCTAAAAATTTCAGCTTTCTATCTATAATAGAAAAAAAGTTATGACCTTTCAAAATTTTTCAAAATCTAAATCATAAGGTAGCTACCTGCTTACTAAAACGATGAAATTTCAAATTTTTTTTATGTTGAGTTTTTGTGTCCTAATGATCACTTGCTATTTCTCGAATTCCATACATCAAGTTATTCCCAGATTTGAAGCCGAAATCTATGGAAAAAGGCACTCAGAAGAATTGGAAAATTGATAAATCACCCCAAATTGCTTAACACGATTTTATCTCAGGAACTATAAGTCCAAATAAGTTGAAATTTTCAGGGATTGAAGTCCTCTACTGAAATAAGAATTGCTGGAAATTTCAGCTTTCTATCTATAATAGAAAAAAAGTTATGACCTTTCAAAGTTTTCCAAAATCTAAATCTTAAGGTAGCTACCTTCTTACTAAAACGATGAAATTTCAATTTTTTTGTGTTGAGTTTTTGTGTCCTAATGGTCATTTAATATCCCCCGAACTTCATATACTAAATTATTCCCAGATTTGAAGCCGAAATCTATGAAAAAAGGCACTCAGAAGAATTGAAAAATTGATAAATCACCCCAAATTGCTTAACACGATTTTATCTCAGGAACTATAAGTCCAAAGTCCAAATAAGTTGAAATTTCCAGGAATTGAATTCCTCTACTGAAATAAGAATCGCTGAAAATTTCAGCTTTCTATCTATAATAGAAAAAAAGGTATGACCTTTCAAAGTTTTACAAAATCTAAATCATAAGGTATCTACTTTCTTACTAAAACGATGAAATTTCAATTTTTTTTTTGTTGAGATTTTGTGTTCTAATGATCACTTGGGATTTCCCGAACTCCATACATCAAGTTATTCACAAATTTGAAGCCGAAATCTATGAAAAAAGGCACTCAGAAAAATTGGAAAATTGATAAATCACCCCAAATTGCTTAAGTCTGACAGAAACTAGTAGTTTTTGTGTCTTTTTTGACCCATGTGTGGCTGCCACGCCATCTTGAATGCTCCGTATTGCTCGGTGGATGCGTCAAAATTTGGCACACTAGCATAAAGCAGTGCACCTGTTCCAGAGTGTTTGTTTAGTTCAATGAGCGAAGATTAACAAAATCGAGGCCGGTAAGCAATCCTAAGGAATGTATCCATGCTTAACCACAACCCGACTTTCCTAGCAAGGATATTACTATATAGAGGTTATCACTACGATGGGTTGAGCGTCATTTATCGCCTACCTCAGATTGGTGACGTAGACATAGATGCTACCTGTTCTCTTTAGAATTTCCTTGGAAACTAGGTTTTTTGGAAATAATATCGGGAGAAATTCTATCTACCACTAGGTCCGAAAGTATATAACACAGAGGTTAAATCGACAAAACCTAATTATGAGTCAAACTCTGCCCCAAATTTGCTACCTATGCAACAGAAGCTGCATTTTCAAGGAAGATAGATGTACCATTTTCGGTTTTCCATGCGATTCCTGTAACAGGACAATATGAAAAACCTGTAGCGGAGTAAAAACTGCAACTGAGATACGAGCCATTTTATTACAAACTCGTATCTGCTCATTTTGGTGTCCAGGGTCTTTATTCTCGAAACCGAGGAACAGCGTTCTCATGAGAACGATTGCTCTCTCATTGTCAGTGTTATGGAAATATGAATACGACTCCTCTGCTCACCGACTATAAGTCATTGCCCTCCTGCTAGCAGCGTCAATAAAGCAACCGAAGTAGAAAACACTTATCTCTGCCTAACAAAGAGATGGAAGATTAAAACGTTAATTTTAAGTCTAATGTCAGTCTCCTGGAGCTTAGAAACAAGACACTGGAATCTGAACTGTCTGCACTTCATAAGCCACCTACTCTTCGGGATGGTGATGCCGCATCAGGTGTGTCTGAACCCAGATCACTACAAATTGCAATCTGTTTTATGAACTTAAGGAGAGAGAAAGCCGCTGATCCAACTTCATAATCTTCAATTGCCCAGAGTTGACTACCAACATCAAGGAGGTCGCTAGTAATGTGACTGACCACTGCCTCGGGCGGGAAGCTTCAAGTATTTTGCTTGGGAAAAGTGTTTTCGCGAAGCTTTATTCTTGACTTTACCTAGGTAGAAAATTTGACATTGTTAATAGTTAATGCACTGTTTAACTATCAACACAGTCAAATTTTCTCTCGAGAGAAAGTCAAGAATAAGGCCTGGTAGGAATAGGCCAATAAAGGTGATATGCAGCTCAAGTAACTTAGCATATGATATCCTACGCAACTCAAATAAGTTCGAAACACATTAACAACCTCAAACATCTGTCAATTAGGGAAGACAAGACTACTCAGCAAGTCCAAGAGTATCGTTATACCCCAAGACAGTTATAATTTTATTGGGAACAAAATAACATAAAGCTGCGACTAGTCTAAATCAATAGGATTTAGGGTCCTGATGAACATACTAAAAGTCCCCAGACCTCCCCCTAGGGGAATATTGTCAAAATGGCGCCGCCATCTTGGATTTTTGACATTTTTTGCTTAATTTACGTTTTACTCAGAAATTACTCATATTTCGAAAAAATATGAGGACGAATAAATTGGAGAGCACAAAAAAACCTTTAAAAGGAGTTGTCTTTGAACTTCCTGGGTACTACTCTCACTGAGATAGGAGCCGAAGAAGTACCGCCGAAATACCGCTTTCCACATGCAAGCTAATGATAACTTGAATGTTGTTGCGTTTTGTAGGAAATCTGATATAAATCCATTTTAACCGCTTCAGAATAGCTTTTTCGTTACACTTTTATGAAAATTTTATTGTTTTATACAACAAATTCGATCAACGAATCATAATATTACTAACGTGTATTCTACCTACATACTACATACAGGGTGGGGCACGAAAAACTTCCCACCCAGGTTTTCTCAGGTGATAGGTGATTAATAGAAAATCGCTCGGACACGTAATTTTTTGTTTTTCGGGGGACATCTTTTAATGGTATTTTCACCCCCTACCTGTCAGCCCTTAGACGGGCGTGACAGGTACCCCCAAAATTTCAATAGGAATGGGGGCTCGAGTGATACGCCATTTGATAGCTATTTTTATTAAGATTATATTTCCAAAGTTTCAAATTGCTACTATTTACCCTGTCGAAATGACAGCTTGTCAAAGTTGTGTGTTTTTTACCCCATAATAACACAACAGATTTTTCGAGTGAATAAAAACGAACCATTTTAAGCTGAAATGTTGAATGACAATGCATACTTAATAATTAAATAGCAATTATATTTCATTACTATGGATAGATACCCTTGAAAATCTGTTGTTTTGTTATTATGTGGTGAAAACCACATAGTTCAGATACTCGGAAAAAGCATTTTTCCTAACTTTGACAAGCCACCATTTCGGCAGGGTAAATGGTAGCGACTTAAAACTTGGGGGATAAAATCTTGATAAAAATATCTACCAAATGACGTATCACTCGACCCCCCTTTCCTATTAAAATTTTGGGGGTATCGTATCTGTCACCCCCACTTAGGGGTTAACTGGTAGTGGGCAAAAATACCAAAAAAATGTGTCCCCCAAAAAACAAAAATTGACGTGTCCGAGCGATTTTTGATTAAACACCTAACACCTGAGAAAACCTGGCTGGGAAGTTTTTCGTGCCCCGCCCTGTATACACATAGAAACTTGTTCATTCTGTTATGATAGGTAGTGTGTTTCCTTA